GTAAAGAAATACCTTATTATAGACTTCCTATAATCCATGTCATCAACATAGTTTGAATCAACATATTCTATTATTGAAGGATCACTATGTTCGCTACTAAACATGATACTATAAATCATAGTACCCTTCAAGCACTTGAGTGTTTCCCAATGACACTTTACAAACTTGACTTACGACCTGTGCTAAATATGATCTAGTGCAGACCATAACATACATTAAACAATCAACAACATTGGCATAATGGACCTTTGACATATACTTAGCTTCTCCATCTGTCTTTGAACATTGATACAATGAGAGCTTAAAGTGATTCGCCAATGGAGTAGTCACATATTTCAAATCACTCATGTTAAACTTGTCTAGCACCTTTTCAACATAGCTTTTTTTTCCAGAGAACCATAATTTTCAAGTACTCTTATCCCTATGAATTTCTGTATCACAAATATTTTTAGTGGAATATAAGTATTTCATGTCAAACTCCTTTCCAAACATTGTTTTTAGTTTTTTTACATCATGTAAATGATTAGCAGCAATCAACATATCATCAACATACAATAACAGGAAAACAAGAGCCATCAACGAGGCTTATAACATAATCACAAAAATCATGCTTACACCTTATATATCTAATCTTAAGCATTTACGAATCAAAGTGCTTGTATCATTTTCTTGGATACTGGTTTAAATCATACAGAGACCTCTTCAATTTAAAACTAGTATGCCATTTCCATTGTCACTAAACCTCTCTGTTGGCTTCATGTAAATTTGCTCATCTAGATTACTGTGAAAAAATGATGTCTTCACATCCATATTCTTTAAATATAAGTCTTGATTGTCTATCAAGGCTAACACTACTTTGATACAAGTATGACTGATGACCCGAGAGAAAATATTCAACCCCCTTTTATTGTGAGCACCCATTTGCTACTAGACAGACCTTGAACTTTACCCTTTCTTTTTCTATTATTACTGGGTTTTTGTTGAATACCCACTTACAACCGGTGACCCCTTTTCTCTTAGAAAGTTGAACAAGCTCCCATGTCATATTTCTCTTCAAGGACTCCCGTTCATCCACCATTTCACCCATCTATTTATCTTTCTCCTGGATAGTTATAGCCTCTTGAAGACTAGAAGGGTTTCCAGAACTAGTAAGAAGTGTATAGGTTGTCAAGTCTTCATACCTATCTTTCTGATGGCTTGGTTGAATGATTCTCTCTGCCACGTAGAAGAATATAATCATGTACCCCACCCGAAACTTCAGGTTTGTTATCATATCAGTATCAGAGATTGATTCCTCATGTTGTTTAAGCACTACCTGCATATTCTTCACTGGTGGCAGATTAACATCCACTTGAATTACCTATTTGTTGGAAGTTTATCCTTCACATGTTGATACATCTATTCAATTGTCTGCTTCAACATTAACTGCTCATCAAAACCAACATCTCTGTTTATTACAATCTGTTTTTAAATGGATTCCATAACTTGAACCCTTCATATCTTTTGCGTAACCGATTAAGACACACTTCTTTGACTTTGAAACAAGTTTGAATCAATCTTCACTAGATATATGCACGTAATCTGGACGCCAAAAAATCCTTAAGGTATCAAGATCAATAAAACTACTTGTCCATTCCTCCTTAGTAACCTTCTCCTCTAATGAAGCTTGTGTTGGCATATTGATAAGATAATACACCATATTATCTGCCCAGAAACCTTTTGGTAGTCCAAATTTAACAAGAGACATCAGCCCTTTTAGTTAGAGTCCTTTTCATTCTCTTATCTTTTCCATACCATTTTGTTGTGGTTTCTTATGAACTGAAAAATGTCTTTGAATACCGTGTTCTTCATAGAACCTCTTGAATTTCAAATTAGTGTACTATGTCCCATTATTTGATATTAAATGCTTGATTTTTTTCCTGTTTTATGTTCTACCTCTACCTTCCACAACTTGAATTCGGTAACGACATCAAATTTATGCTTTGAGAAATACACCTAAACCATGCGAGAAAAAACATTTGTGAAAGTCATAAAATACCTGGAACCACCCCCATGGAAACCTCTTTGGTAGGTCCTCACACATTAAAATTCATATAGTCTAAAGTTTCCTATGTTTTTTGCTTTCTTGTCTTGAATGGAACACGAAAATTTTTCCCAAGTATACAATACTTTCACAATTACAACTTGCAACTACGTACACCTTTTAATAGATTTATCTTATGAAGTTCCATAATCCCACACTCACTGAGGTGAACCAAACGCATAACTATCAAACTAAATTGATGCAACATCACCTAAAGAAATGTTCCCCAACAATTTGTAGATGCTACCTACAATCCTCCTTGATCTCATCACAATCAATGCACCATTGGTAACCTTCATAATGTCCCTATCTCCATCGGACCTATAGGAGAAACCATTTTCCTGCAAAGTACTTAGGGAAATCAAGTTCTTTCTTAATTGTAGAATATATTTGACTTTGTCAAGTTCTTTTTTATTTGTAAATGTGGTCCAAAATTGCTACAGACAATAGTGGCTTTTCCCCATTCCAGTGATATTACTTGCTTTATCATCACCTAGATAAACAAATAAAAAATTACCTAATCAGAATGTAGTGAACCCTTCCTGGTGCGGTGTCATGTGGTAAGAACAACTAGAGTCAAGAATCCATGCATATGTGCACTTGTTAGATGAAACATACAATATATTTGCTTCACTTCCAGAATCATAACTTTGGACCACATTTACAGAACTAGACGAGCCATACATTTTGTTTGGACAATCCATCTTCCAATGCTCAATCTATTTGCAACTATAACACTTGACTACTTACGATTCCTAGATTTAGAGCTATTCTTTCCAAAATATTCATTACCCTTGTTCTATCCATGATATGTCACCTTGAGTTCATTCCTATACTCTTTATCTCTTTAAGAATGAGTCAAAAGTGTAACAATAATCACATCAAGACTCATAATGTCTTTCCGATAGGTAAGATTAGTCACCAAGTGGTCATACGAAACTGGTAACGAGTAAAGCAAGATAATTGCCTTATTTTCGTCATCAATCATTACTTCAAGCATCACCAGATCAATGATTTTATTGTTGAAGTCCTTGACATGTTGTTGCAAATCAAATCCTTCTTGCATCTTTAGACTATATAGTTGTTGCTTTACGAATAATTTGTTTATCAACGTCTTTGACATATACTGACTCTCCAATTTTTGCCAAACCTCTTTCGGAGTCGTTAGGTCCAGGATACGATACATCACTCGATTTGAAACATAAAAGTGAATCAATCCTACAACCTTTTCCTTTCACTCTTCCCAATCAGTATCCTCCATATTGTTTGGCTTTGTCTAATGCATTGCCTTCTGTGAACTTTACTGAGCCAACAAATTCTTAGCCTTTTTTTGCCATAATCCAAAATTACCCATCCCGTCAAACCATGTTACTTTGAATTTCGCACTAGAGTTAATCGTCATCTGATATCAATTGTTAGAACAATAACCAATATAGAAGATTAAAGATTAAAAAAATAATAGACAATGAATACGAACAATTAATGCAATTTGACGAATGATGCCTACCTCTACGACTATAGAGCAACAATAGTTCCTTTTATTTGTCTTATTAATTAGGACTCCAGTATTACAAGCCATATATATAATATTATGGTTCAGTTTACCTAAATCCTAATCCCCACTCACCCACAACAAACAGTTATCTCTACCCATAATAATCTTCACAGTAAGACTTAAACTCAATAATACCCATAATAATCTCCACAATATGTGTAATACTTAACAGAGAGCCGCTAAACTATTACTCATACTCCTTTGCTTAACACAAGCATGGAAGATTCTAGTATTTACATCCTTTTCCTTATAACCAAGATAATCCGGATCTCTGAAAAATCTGAGAGTAGCAGCTCCAAATGAGATCCCACCACTCTTGAAAAATATGAGAGCTAACAACTAGCTCCTCTTAGAGAAGAGAACCCAACTCCGCTCTCAACTCCAAATTCAAAAGCTTATCTGAACAAACCTTAATCTTAAAATCCAAATTTCCAAACACCTCCTTATTTCAAACCTTAAGAGTCCTTTTATGAGCTCTCAATTTATCCTCCAACTTACACGTCATCCAACCCTCCCAAACTTCCAACTGTCATGACTCACATACCACCCTCTCAAAGTTAGCATTCCTCAACTAGAAATTGTTAATCCTGAAAAGCATAAGTCCCACAGAGATGAAAAGAATACTTCAAAACTAACATAGTGATCGGAGACGTCTTGGGCTAAAGTCCACATGCTACCTTAGCCTTACTCCTCCTCCCACCAAGTCGAAAGAAAAACTCGACCCAACCTATTAATAGAGACCCCATTCAAATGAAACCAGTTAAATCTCCTCCCAACAAAGGTAAATTTACCAATCTCATTGCTTCAATAGAAGCACCCAACTCCAGGAACTACACAAAGATAGAATCCTAGGCCCCTAATCCCCACACCCACCCCATTCCTCTCATCACAATTAAGAACCACATTAAAGTCCTCCACAACACCAGACAGAACTCAAGAGACGCTCACACGTACAAACCAAAAGATCACACATTACTCTTTTTCGTGACAATGATCACTTAATATAAACATTAACCACAAAAATTAATTATTAAAATTAATTATAATAGTAATTGGAAAGTGTACAATTGTTTCCGGCTACAAAAATCAAATTGCAAGACAAATTGTGCAATCATGTATATGTTTGACTTTTATTTGAGACCTAAGTACACATTTATTGTTAATTTGTAAACTTCCTCCTTTTGTATATAACATAGAAAGTACAAATATATTACAAAGGTTCTAATAAAATCACAAGTATACCAATTAATGTTTATATATAAACTCTTGGAGGTTGAGTTTTGACTAAGAAATAATGGGATCTCAATTAAGAGAGATTTAGAAGGAATAAAAATGGGAAAATATCTCAACTCAATTATTGGATCAGAATGAATAATCAAAAGAAGTAAAGGAGGAAACATCTTTCATCAACTCCTCAAAATCCCACTCTCCCAAGTTCAATTGTTCTTGAAATAAATTCTCCACTGCCCCACTTTCATTATCATTGTTGCTGTCAATAATATTGCAGTTACTAAGAATACTGTTCATGTCATCAAAAGTATAATCAATACTGATGTTCTCTCTCTTGCAGACATCACCTTGCACTCCACCATTTTCCAAATAACAATCTTTAATATCAACTTGATGACTTTCTGAAAAGCATGGCACTGTAAATGCAGTGTTTAAGTATCCACTATGCTGAAGCATAGGCAATGTGTCAATATTCATAGTATTGAAAATCGTGTTTTCGTATGTCGATAACGAAGAAGATGATGAAGCGAAGATAGGCTCATTCATCATGTAGTTGTTGTAATTTGCATGTTGATGATGTTGTCCAGAAAACCCTAGTATATTGATCTCTTTATTAGGCTCAGGCGAGGACGATTCATCACTTGCATTATGTGATGTTGAGGTTGTTGTTGTAGTAGAAGACATGTTCTTGAGTCTTTTCTTTATAGTTGAATTCCAAAAGTTTTTTATCTCATTATCAGTTCTCCCAGGTAAACGTGCTGCGATTTGTGACCATCTTCAAAAGTAAAACATATATTCAAATGTTAGGTAAATGTTCAATGCATGCATAGGTAGAATGACGAAGTTGAAAAGAATATTAACAAACCTGTTTCCGAGAATCGAATGCAAATGAACGATGAGTTCTTCTTCTTGAGTTGAAAAAGCACCTCTTTTAAGATCAGGTCTCAAGTAATTAATCCATCTTAATCTACAACTTTTGCCACACCTTTCCAATCCAGCATTTCTTGCTACATCACTCCAACAACCTTGTCCATTATTCCTCACCATATAGTTCATAAGTTTCTCATCTTCTTCCGGCGACCACAAACCTTTCCTAAGCTTCTTCTTAATACCATCGTTCTTTTTCGTATTATAAATCTCTGGCTTTCTCATCGTACTAGTTATTATTCTTATTGTTCTTCCCGAATCGGTTAACCTGATAGGTATATGATCACAGAGACATGGTTTTATATAGACCTAGCAAGAAAGAAGCTTCATCTTAAGGAAATAAATTAATGATGACCATGAGATGATGATTGTGATGGTTATGGCGTTTGCTTACAATATAGGAAAGAGTGAGAAAAAAGGGTTGGTAGTAAGAAACGGTTCGGAGAGAGACATAACATAACATAATAATATAATAGAAAAAGAAATTGGTTGTCTTCTTGTCTTTGACTCCATGGCTATTGTTTTTTTTTTTTCTTTCTAATTTTACTTCACTAACAAGGTAATCATAACATACATGAATGTATTATAGGTCATATTATTAATGTGTGACATTAAAATATATATTTTATATTTATTCATCAAACGTATATAACAGTTTGTTTTAGAATCAAGCTAAGTTTTTTTGCTTCCATTTCACATAATCTTTCCTCACACACGTGTAGTTGAAGATATAGATACAACATAAATGGAAGATTAATGAATAAAAGTAAGGATGGTACACACTTTAATGAACATTGCCTATTTCTTAATTTTAATATTTTCAACATAAGATCCACATGCTTAAGTTTTCATCACCAAAAAAAGGAAAAAGTAAAATAGACTCATATATATATATATATATATATATATATATATATATATATATATATATATATATATATATATATATATATATATATATATATATATATATATATATATATATATATATATATATATTGGATGATTAATTATTAAGCAAATTCAAGTGTATAATATTGAAATGCTACTGTTACCAGTTAGTAGATGAAGTTATATATTTAATCATTGTTACTTAAGTTATGATGTAATGAAAATTTACTTCTAGTACGGTTGTGGATTGACTAACTAGTTAAGAAAAAGGAAATAGTTTTATAAAAATGAAATATAATGTGAATGTGATTCACACATACACGTACATCACATGTAATTTAGCTTATATAGACTAGAATGGCTTTTGTAAATAGTAATCAAAATGTTTATAATAATTGTGGTTGACGTAAGAGAGTGAAGAATTTTTAATTTCTATGTTTTATTCTGTCAAGAATAGGAAACTTTGTATGTTTTTCTCGTGCAAATAGTTTTTCGAGATTAAATAATTAAAGGTGAATCATGTGAGAAAAAGAAAGAAAGAAATGGCACAACAGATCATTGACTTCTCTAGCCATCTTTTTAATGCAAAGCAAAAAATATTGACAAAAAACAGTATTCTTGTGGGGGAGTTTACTAGATACAATTGAAACAAACATGAATGAAATGACAAAGATATAGAATTGTTTTTCTAGTCTATTTTATCTCAAATCATAGAGTTAACCACTTTGAGTGATAATCTTGAGGCCTATTTGGAGTAGTAAGGAATTTTTGGCTTTTAATTTTAAAATTTAATTTTATAATTAAAATAAGTTTGGCTAAAATAGATTGAGTTATTATTTGAGGAACTGTTTTCTTTAATTTGTAATGGAAACATTTTGTAGCTTAACTACTTCTATTGTAGTGAGTGGCAAAGTCGATATAATCCTCGAGGACACTCAAGTGTCATTATAACATTGTGGTTAATCTTGAGCAAGTGATTCTTCCTTTAAGTATTCTTGTTAATCTCTGTCATAAATCCTCACTTCCTATTTACCTATAAAAAGGATTGATTGTCATCTTTTGCTAATTTTTCAATAAAGCTTTGTATTTATGTTTTTTTTTCAATCTGTTTAATTTTTCAATAAAACATTGAGATATATTAATAATCAATCTGTGTTCTAACAATCTCTCCTTTTTTTATGATGACAAAAACTATACGAAATTTTATTCAAAATTAAAATATATATCTCCCCCTGAGAATATGATTCTCCCCCTAAAATGAATACTGCTAGAAAATTTAAAACTTCCCTTTCAGCACTTGTATTCTTTCCAGAGTCAGAGCAAGCTTGTGGACTATCTCAGACCTTGTTCAGAGTTAATTCTATAAATATTTTCAGATGAGTAACTTTAACTCTGAAACACTGAATTCATGATTAGTTAGTTTTTAACATGTGTGAGTTTCCATTCAGTATCTGTTTATGTGAACGATTCAAAATTTCCATTTTCTCCCCCTTTTTGTCATATCAAAAAGTGATGTTAGAAAAATCATTTAAGACAAAGAAAATTTCAGAGCAAGAAAAATAGAAAAATATAAGATACAATCAGATGTAAAAAAAATCACAGATGAGTACAAACTAACAAACAATTAAGATAAACGAGAAGTTAAAAGCTTAAGAAGCTTCGTCATCTCAGAAGTTGAAGCTTCTTGTTTGACTATCCATGTCTTGATTTCAGTAGTGGATTCTTCCTGTTTGACCATCCACTCCTGAATCTCTGCCGTAGTTTTCTCTTGCTTGATCATCCAAGATTTTATCTCCCTGTTAGTAGCCTCTTACTGAACAAATTTGTTTTGAACATATTCATTTTCTTTCCTTAAATTTGTTGAATTTTGAACAACCAATGAAGAAGTTGCATTCCCTAATTCCAGAGCAGAGGGCTGACCAGAGTCAGGAATCTCTTCAACAACAGGAGCCTCTGAGGTACCTTCTTCAGCTTGAGGGCCTTCACCTATCTGAAGTGCAGCAGATTTCTCAGATAAGGAACACACAATCTCTGCAGGTGTGTTTTCCAGACAGAGAATAGAAGTTCTGCTGACACTGAGTTGAGCAAGTCTCATAGCTTCAGAAACTCTCTCTTGCGCATCTGCAGAGCAAGCATCCTGAAGATTCATAGTCACAGAAGTGAATCTCTTTCTGAAGGCAGTCCAGATCTCTTCAGAGTCACGATGATTCGTGCTAGTGAGGCACTTCTCCCTTACATCAGAAAACCACATCTGCATCTCTGTTTCAAAACTAGATAACAGATTACCAACATTGGGTTTGGGTTTGGGCTTAAGGTAGGCCTCGAAGAAAGATGTCCTAAGGGCATCAAAGAGTGAAGGTTTAAAAGAGGATGAAGGTTTATCTGGAGAATGAGAGGGAATGGGAGAAGAAAACTCAAGAGGGTGGTTTGGGGAGTTATGTGGAAGGGATGTAGCATCTGATTGGTCAGAGGAGGAGCCAGATGTGATAATAGGTTCAGATGTGATAAAAGGTTCAGATGTGATAATAGGGTCAGATGTGATAAAAGGTTTAGATGAAAGAGGGGGTTGAGATGTTGGTTCAGAAGAGAGAGGGGGTTGAGATGTTGGTTCTTCTGTTATAGTTTCCAAAACAGGAGATAAAACAGCAGAGGGATTACCTGATTGCTTGGAACACTTTGAGGACTTCTTGGAAGAGCCTTCTTCAGAGACCTTGCTCTTCTTGCGTTTCTTCCTCATAATCGGCTCTGGAGCAGGTTGAGAAGCACGTAGCAACAGATCAGCTGGCATAGGAGTGCCATCTGCCATACAGGAAGCAATATAAGCGAGGAGAGCTTCCTTTGGCTCCTCTACAGTGAAGAGTGGAAAATCTTCCACTGGTACCCTCCTTTTGAGCACAACATCAGAATCAATCTGAACTAGATTAGATTGAAGTTTTTCTACCAACTTCATTCTCTGAAGACTCTTTCCATCCAAAGGCTTCCCAAGAATAGGAACTAATTCATCTGTCTGACCAGCATCTTTCAGATAAGATACCAAACCATTTTCAGTGAGGATATTAGAAATTAACCTTTCCATGGGAATCCAATCTCTGATTTTTGGTGTTTGGTGCGAATGATTTCTTTGGACATCTTGACATGACTCCAAAGATGAACAAGTAACAGGTGTGGAAGATCCACCTTGATATTATTCCCTAGACAATACAAAATATACAGTTGATCTGTATTAATGTAATCTGGAGAATTTGAAGCCTTGCGATGATGGATACAGCCCAAAAATATCTTTACCCAAATCTTGTAATGGGTCTTCAGATCCTTTATTTTGTTGGATGGAAGCCCAAAGGTGAACACCTCGTTGTACACTTCATTCATATTCACGCGTCCCTCTGAGGTATTCACAATACCTTCTTCTTCATAGCCAATAAGTTGGCGAATCATTTCCTCAGTGATGACGATAGTTTTACCCAAAACGGATGAAGAAATAAATTTAGGGTAAACTTGGGCATGAATCCAGAATTCCTTTACCAGTTGGGGAAAAACTGGACCAAACAACCGATCAAAGTATTTTACCCATCCTTGAAAGTTAACCGTTGAACGAAGATCAAACCCATTTTTCGCCATACAGTCAAAATCAACCATAAACTCACATAGCACCTCTAGTTTGTTCACTGGTGTGAGAAGTGTGCATTCTGGTTCTTTGTACGCTTCATTACGCATTTGCGATGAAGACGACCCAACCATTGTAGAAACCAAGTGTTGATGTGATGAAGATGAGGTAGCCATTGAAGAAGAACTTTTGAGATGACTGGAGATTCTTTTAAATTTTGATTTGAAAAGAAAGCAATGAAGAAGAGCAAAATGCATAAGGTGTGTGAGATAATGAAAGTGTGAAATATGTTACGGCGTGGAATAAGTGTTAGGGCATAAAGAGAAACATAAATCAAGTCAAAAAAGGAATAATGATTTAACGCATTAAATGTGATTTGACAAAGTGGGGGGAAAAGAGAATTTCAATGATTCAAACAATACCTGAAACGGCGCATCAGCTTTGTGTATACTCAATCGTTTGCAAAATTCAAATTAGAAGTGACACGTGTTTGATGTGGTGTGCCTCTGAAGCTCTTTTAGGAAATGAATCGTTAACTAGAAGCTTGTTAACTTAGATTTTCACAAAAATAAAGTAACTTAAAAAAATTCAGATGCAATACTTCAGAGTATAGACTTTAAACACTTTTCATCTGAATAAATTTAATTCTGAATAAAGATTTTATTCTGGACAAAAGTCCATACTAATATTTTTCAGAATAAATTTAAATCTATCTTCAGAGAGGGGTTTT